GTCCGGCCATGGCAGGACTTGCCGGACCGGCTCCGCCGGCCCTGATTTATTAAATTTGCGTACGATTTCGCGTACGCAAGCGAGGCCGTTTTAGGTGCGATTCATCAGGCTAAAATTTACGTAAACCTTTGCGTAACTTTACACGAGCTGACGAGGTGCCGTAAACCACTCGAAATTTCCGCATGTATTTCCAGCATACCGCAGCATGCATTATTTTATTGAGAAAACATTATAAAATTACTACTCAACTAAAAATAAATAAATAATTACCATACTACACAGACAGCTCTAGGCGGCGCCTTTGACGCTTCTTTTGTCATAGCTTGGCATTGTTTTCGTTATAAGCGTTAGTAGTTAGTCGTGTAGGGGCCTACATGCACACGCACGCACGTGTACGTGCACACGCACGCACTTGTAGTTGCACACGCACGCACGTGTACGTGCACACACATGCACGCTCGCTCGCACGCACGTGTACGTGCACACGCACGCACGCACGCACACAAGCACGCACGGGTTGGGTTAGGTTGACTGTTTGTACTTGTGTGTATATTTTGCTCGGACGAATATCCACGTCCTTAGGTTTAGGCACCATAAAACAGCGTTACGCATTAGTGGTACGGAAAAAATAGAAGCGGCCGGGACCTGCAGGCTGAGCCCGCAGTGAAAAGGTTTTAATAATTAGAATTAGCAAGAGCTGGGATTCGGGCTGAATCCTGCCCCTCCCCCGCACAACAACAGCTTTCAGACCCGTCGAACCAGTTTCTTTTTCTCTTTCTTTTCTTTCTTTCTTTCTTTCTTTTTTTAAATCATAGGGGGGCAACCGCCCCCCCCCCCGTGACGCCGCGCCTGATACGAGTTGGTTGGCACGTACACCCGAATTTAGACAGTATACATACTTAGAAGGAGTTTCATATTCAAAATCTGAATACCATTGGTTCGTCGGGGTGATCCTCTATAGAGCCCTCAACATCTGATCCCTCTTGAACGCATTTCTTTGCGATTGACCCGCTATTGGTCGCGGCACTAATCTTCTTCTTCTTCTTCTTTTTCTTCTTTTTTTTCTTCGTCTTTTTCTTCTTCTTATAGTCTCTCGCTGATGGTCCACGCTGAGACGTCAGCTTGTGTTGGGTATTAAAAGCTGTGTATGCGCTCATGGATATAGTATATGTATAGTACATGTGTATATATCAGAGCCGAAGTTGGCGGGGCAAGGGCAGGTGCCCCCTTAATATTTATAACGTTTATGATTACCGGGTACCGCCCTTGATCGTAACGGCCGCTAGAGGGCCTACCTCACCGCGCTATCTTGCTATCTGTGAGCATCACTGATCTCTATAATAAAATCTATTATAGAGATTTATTATAGATTTTATTATAGAGATCAGTGGTGAGCATTGACTGTGATTAGGTCGTCCAATCAGCGAGCAGGCTTTGGCCTGACGTCATTTCCAACTTATTAAAGTTGAATTTATAACTACAATTAATGCTCGTGCTTCTGCCAAAGCCATTAACTAGATTGTTTCCATTCATCAGGTATTCGCCTGGGGCGAAGTTTTGCCGTATTTACTTCTGTACGCTCGATTGCTCGCCGCTAATCCGATTTCCCGCCATAAGTCAAACACCGTCTTTGGTCGATCGATACCGAGGCTTGCGAACCGCTGGCGCGGCGCTCGCTAAAAACAGGCGTTAGTGTAGCCGTGCGGAACATAACGATATCGACTGTATTATACAGGTTATAGTGCCCCCTGAGAAATACGGATATTGTTACATAGTGAATGACGTCACGCTCACGGTCCCGCAACCGGCAGTTAGATGCGATATGATATGACTACTAGGCACTTTAATTTAATTTAATTTTTTTTTTTTAGAGTTAGGGTTAGGGTTTAGGTTAGGTTTAGGGTTTAGGTTAGGTTAGGGTTAGGGTTAGGGTTTTTTTTTTTTTAAGTGCCTAGTAGTCATATCCTAAGTGCCTAGTAGTCATATCATATCGCATCTAACTGCCGGGTGCCACGGTCCCCTGCTCAGAACAAAACCCACGTGGCTTTGCCCCCCCCCCAAGCAAAATGGGTCATGCAGCTACGTTCCCGTATATATTGTCTTTACATTATTTCATTATATTATTCTCTATTCTAATCGTAGAAATAATATATTAGTTGGACTACTATATAGTGCCTCTATAATCTATAATCTACGATAGTGTCTCTATTATAATCTATAATCTACGATAGACAGTGTCTCTATGATTCTCTGATTCTATGATTCTCTGATATAGAACAGAGTTTCTATGATTATAACCATAGCCATAGATTATAACGTACGGCCGCCAGCGCATGCGCGTTGCAGCGAAAAGTTTAGAATGGGAGCCAGTCACAGTGGAGCCAGTCTACGTCGTTATTACAGGATAATCTGTTGCGTTAGTGGTGCAATATTAGGGCAATAAAATACGTAGTTGATTATTCATACGTCGGTTCACTAATTCGCTCTAGAGTAAAAATTATTATTCAGCAGTGACAGCACATATGTTGAACAGGATATTTGAGAAATAAACATAATTACAGTATATTTTTTCAGTAGAAGGAGTATAAATATTTTCCAGATTAATTCCCTTGATATCGGAATCGTGTTTACAGCTCTGCACAGTGCACTCGCGTGAAACCCACATTGACGGAGCGAGCAAGCAAATGTTCTTACTAGCAGTTGCGAAAGACCCAATTTTAACATTATCACACTGACACACAGTGAATTGCGATCGGCATGGGGAAACCTAAGAAGGGACGCGGGGCACAAGCAGATGATGAACTGTAAGTCAGCTAACCTATCATATAATTGTGCCAGCCGCAACCCAGATGCAGTATGCTGGCTACACTCAGCACTTGCACGTCTACTCACACTCTCACGTAGTGTATCATATCATGACATATGTAGCCCAGCCTACCTCCAATGAATGATCATTGAATGTTGCCAGTGTGATGATGGGCAGACCTCTACTCTATACTGACACGTTGTTGTTAAATGTCCCAGTTTATCGATTTAAACCATATTTTTAAGTCTGCTTTTTCCTCTAGCATAACCTTTATTCATGCCATATGTAAATGTTTGAAGTTCGAATAATCGTCAGAATAAGATAATACTCGGCCAGCAGCGAACGTGTATAGATTGTAGCACTGTCACTGCATTATATCTCAGCGGTTAGGTTCAGTTGTCCTTCCAATGTCGCATGTTTTTAATCGAAAGCGTGAGAATGAGATGTGCTTGCATTTTAAATCAAATAATTCGCCAAGGGTTAGCAAATCATATGCTGCTAGTCTTGGAAATAAGTCGGGTTCAGAGGTGGGAGGAATAAGAATTTAATGTGACGAATTAGAAGGAAGCAATTTGCTTGGCGTAGCAAATATTATTTATACGAGAAGTTCTTGTTGCACACAAGGGTCTCGTGTTCATACCATAGATTGTTGTCAGGGTCCTATCACGTTAGACCATCATAGAGGCTTGCTGATGTTCATCTGACTATGTTCGCTTAGGTCGTTTAAAAATTAAGTTGCGCATGACTTGCAATGAGTTAATTATTGTTATGTGTGTAATAAGGGTCAATATTTTTCTGATTGTTTTTTTGTATTTTCCTTAGGGATGATATCGAGAAAGAGCTAGACATGATGAGACTGGAGTCTGGAATTCAGAATGATGGGTCAGATGATAGTGTACCAGTTGTAAAACAAAAAGAAAAGAAGAAGGTATCAATAATCACTCGCTAAACTATTTAAATATTATGTAACATTTTCAGTGTGTGGTGTAATCCAGTGCACTCTGCAAAACCCCCAATAAAAATTAGTTCATTAGATGTACATTTCTGTAATGAATAAGATTTATTCTATATTTATTTTAGAAAAAAAAGAAGGAGGCAGCTGATAATGAGGATGATGATGCCGATGATACGACACATGGACCCACGAAAAAAGAGCGAGGGAAGAAACAAGAGCTTGACATAGAGGGCGCAAGTGATGAAGAGGATGCAGAAATCCTTCCGAGGAACAAAAGGAAAGACAAGAAGAAGAAGAAAGTTGAGGAGCTGAGTGAGGAGGAAGAAGAAGCACCTGCCATCACAAAAGGCAAGAAAACGCAGAAGAAGAAGAAGAAGCGAGGTGGCGACATCAGCGACAGTGAGGAAGATGATGACGAAAACGTAAAAACAGAACCCACAACGAGGAGTAAGAAACGCGACAAGAAGAAAAACAAGAAGGCGCGTGACTTGAGCGACGACGATGATGATGAAGAGGAGGATTCCGTGCAGCCGAGAAGCAATCAGAATGAACCAACCTTTGATGAAAAAAACAGCAAGCCAAATAAGTTGTCTGCTTATGCGATGCTGGCCATTGAAGACAGTGACAATGATGGCGGCGAGGACCGTGATAGTGACGATGACTCGGTTGAACGTCCTCCGACGCCTGAACCGAAGGTTGTTGAGGCAAAGCCAAAGAAACAGAAGGAGAAAAAGGGCAAGAAGGGGAAGCAGAAAACAGAGGAGGATGACATTGATGCCCTTCTCTTAGAGATTGAGTCAAAATCCTCCGGCAAAAGTAAAAAGGGAAAGAAAGGGAAGGCGGCAGCGCAGGAAATGGACGTGGAGATGGAAGAAGCGAAGCAAGGGGAGGAGGTGCCGGCAGAGAACGGGAAGTCTGTAAAGAAAATAGAGGAAGCAGGAGAGGATGTTGAGGTAAATGCGGTGGTTGTGGATCCAGAGGAGGAGGCCGAGCGACTGGAGATGGAGATGAAGCAGAAGAAAAAGAAGAAGAAAGGCAAGCAAATAGAGGAGAAGGAGGAGGAGCCAGCAGACGAGCCAGGAGAGATGGAGGAGGAAGGAGAACCTGAGGTTTGATCCCTCTATGTTCTATAATACAAACCGTTAAAATAAGTATGGTCCTCATTATGCTAGGCATTGTGCTATAAGCCATGTGGAGAATTAGACCCATCTCGCTGACCCAAAGAAGGACAGAACATCATTGTTCAAATAGGGTCATTGTGTCGTAGCCTTTTATATACGTTCATTATTTCCAACGTAGATATTTTATAGTACCATTATCACCTTGTTTGTGTTAGGAGAGCTTCATGATTGGGATCATAAAATTCAGTGACAACTTCGTTTATTGACTGTTAACATAACCTGCCTGTATGAGAAAATTTGTTCATTCAACCAGTGGCATTTTCTTTCAAACCAAGGATAAGGAAGATGTGGAGGAAATGGGAGAAGAGGTCCACACAGTGAAGACAGCTGCTCAGAAAAAGGCGGAGAAGAAAGAACGGCAGAAGCGCGAGGCACAGAAAGTAAAGGTATTCCGTCTGCAAGCGCGAACACCCACATGCATACACACACATACGTCTATGTTTGTATTGTGCCACTTGGCTACGTTCATGTAATACAATGCATAACTACACTTGTAAGCTTGTGTTTGAATACGGGTTGCTTTTAGATGTGCAAGGTAAAATGGCAAGAGGTTACCGAGATATGATAATTTTATAGTTTGGGGAGTCATGCACATTACAACCGAAAATAGAAGTTGTTTTATTTTTCATAACAGAAAAAGGGAAAGAAGGCAGATGAGGGTGAGGAAATTCTTGACACAAAGACTGAGGAGAAGTCAGTGGATGAGAAGATGGAGGAAACAGTGGAAGCCAAGGCCACTGAAACGAAAGGTATCGTCTGATTATGTTTTACACATTATTATTATTATTACTATTATTATAAATATTATTATTATTATTATTACTATTATTATTATTAGTAGTATTATTATTACTATTATTATTATTATTATAAATTTTCAAAGTTATTATAGTGTTACATGTTTATATTACAATGTGTTACAGTGAATCTCGAAAGAAATACAGGATTTATATGGGATGGGTGTAGTGATCATGTGACTCCTTGATAGTTATAAGTTTTGCAGCTACATAGTAACAGTATACCTCACGCCTCCTTGTGTTTTTGCAGAAGGCGAAGGTGAAGACAATGAAGACGGAGAGGAAACTGAAAAGAAGAAGGAAAAAACGAAAAAGAAGAAGGGTAAAGACGACAAGCCAGAGAAGGACAAGAAGAAAATGGGATCGAAACAGGTGATCTATCCATCGAAATTGTTTGTTTTAGTAAAATGAATTATTGTATTATGAATAAAGTTATTGTAGCAGTAGCAAATTACATAATAAAGTTACTGTACCAGCAGTATTTACACTAGTGATAATAAGCAATTGATGGAATTCTCAGTGTACTTAAGCCCGGCGCACACGTGAGTTATTTCACTCAAGTAAAATGACGCATGAGTCAAATTACTCAACGAAAATCTGCTGCACACGTGAGTAAAATGGCGCATGTGTCAAATTACTCAACGAAAATCCTCTGCACACGTGAGTAAAATGACGCATGAGTCAAATTACTCAACGAAAATCTGCTGCACACGTGAGTAAAATGGCGCATGTGTCAAATTACTCAACGAAAATCTGCTGCACACGTGAGTAAAATGGCGCATGTGTCAAATTACTCAACGAAAATCTGCCGCACACGTGAGTAAAGTGACTCATGCGTCATTTTACTTGAGTAAAATAACTCACGTGTGCGCCGGGCTTTACATGGTAGAATGGTCAGCAGCAGGACTTATTACATGCAGTAAGCCAGAAGTAGTCGGTTGTGGTCGCCTGTCCGATGGAATTCCAACAGATGTATTTCTAGCAGCCAATCGCCGTTATCTTTGCAGCTTAAAGTCATGCAAGAAGCCCTGCGAAAAATTGAGGAGGAGAAGGAGCGGTTGTGGAAGGAGGAGGAGGAGGCTGAGAAGCGAGCGGAGGAGGCAGAGAGACTGCGTGAGGAGAAGGCGAGGCTTGAGCTCGAGAAGAAGGAGAAAAAGAAGCAAAAGGAGAAGGAAAGGAAGGAGCGATTGAAGGCTGAAGGAAAGCTGCTGACTAAGAGCCAGCGACAGGCGAAAGCACGAGCAGAGGCTATGCTGGAATCTCTCAAAGCTCAGGGTAAGCTTTAGGCCACCCTTAAAATATTGTTTGTTTCCCCTTTACTTACTCGCCTCTCAGGGTACCGACTACCGAGTAGATAGGTAGGTGAAAAATCTTTTTTATTTTGTTTTGACAAGATGTGTGTATGTATATTGTATATTCTGTTTTGTGTATATGTTTTTGCGGAACGAATTTGATTTTTTTTTTTGGCAAAACGAAATAATTTTTGGTTTGTTATAATCGGCCAATAAAATGTGCCGAGTAGCGGCGTTTTGGCGAGTCGGTCGGTAAAGGGGAAACAAGCAATATTTGATCTTAGGCCTTATACCTTCTATCCTCTCTCTTTCTCTCTGTCTATATATATATATATATATGGTTACGAGTGTGCGAAATTTGCCTTGGTTTCTGGTCTAATTCACAAGACAATTAACTGGTATTATTATTTCTTCCAGGATTTGCTGTACCAGCAAAGGATGATGAGGAAGGAGCAGCACTACCCCAAAAGAAGCGCCCTATCTACAAGGACAAGAGGTCAAAGTTCAAGCAACAACAGAAACTCGAACGTGTGTATAGTGTGGAAAGAGAATTTATCGAGAATTAGCAAATAATTACAAACTGCTTTCGATTAACTTCTTAGGCCTATCGTCAAAATCATCTTAGGCAGTTGTGACTATCATATAGTTTAAAATATTGTAAATTTGGCATGGACTTCCCTTTATAAGTTATGTTATTTGAGGCCTCTGTTGCCATGACTACCTATGATGTCTCGGACAATGAACTCCTGATATATATCTCAGTGGAATGCGAGTCCCACATATATAGGTCTCGGTAGACAGTCCAGGTATTAACATGACAAATTGAGCATCTATAAACGAGTATAATTCTGTGTTATTCATTGTTAAATGGCTGCTTCCATCACATTCAGGGCAAGCGTCAGACGAGGTGGCAACACAGGAAGCAGAGAAGACGGACACTATGGAGGTAGAGGAGGCGAAGAAGACGGTGGAGGAAAAAAAGCCAGAAGAGGAAGAGGTGGAGAGCTGGGAAATGATTGAAGAGGAAAAAGAGGAAGTCAAAGTTGAAGAGAAGCCTATTGTACAGAAAGGTGGGCACAATATACTCCAACACTGTCCTGTCTTGGCTAACTGTTATTCCACGTGACCATTGAGATGCTGTTGTATACTCAGTTATAAGTTCCATGTATAAGCTTTAAATGCCATGTGGCTCCATACTTTGTACGTGCTGTCATTCATTTATTTTCTGTCAAAATTCCACAGTAGTTGTTCCCTATCTGCATGGTTTATGATTACATGATTTGTAACAAAAACTTACTGAAGATTATTTTTGGTCCATTTAAAGAAGAAAAGCCAAAACATCATCACAAGGCACCAGTCAAGGCACCGTCTGTGGAAAAGGAGGAGAAGGAAGAGGAAGAAGAGGATGATGATGATGAGGAGGACGACGAGGAGGAGGAGGAGAGTGAGAGTGAAGAGGAATCTTCAAGCGAGGAGGAGTCAGATGATGAGAGGACGCCTGCGCAGAGGGCACGAGAGAAGGCTGCAGCTAGAATTGAGGTGATGAAAGAGTGTCTGCATTCCTCTATGATGTCATACACACACTGCACTCATATACATATATATATAAATGCGTCGTGGATATTGAAAGTTAGTTAAGGCTGACACACCCTCACCTGGAAATCATTATGTACATACAACTCAAACATTTCTAATCAGCAGAGAACTAACATCTTTATTTGAGAGTTTTGGGTTAACCGTCGTGTCTCTTACACTAATACAATCGCACAGTTGCAAAATAAATGCCAACCATGTTCTTGGAATGACAATCACAAATTATTTACACCCTGTTAAATTTACGCACGTCAACGTTTTGTGCGAGTGTTAATTCGACTAGAATCATCGCTTATGCCGCCCTAACCGTGGCTCGGGTAGCTTGTATCGCCATCACGGTGTCAGTGGCCATCTCAACCTTGCTGTGGTTATATCTTGGCTTCATGCGTGTCTCTGTCATTGTAGAAGCGAAAGTCGGAGGCTGAGAAGAATGTGAGTGTGGACAGGCTGCGCACGCCCATCGTGTGTGTGCTCGGTCACGTTGACACGGGAAAGACGAAGATTCTCGACAAGGTAGGTGATGCAGTTGTCGACCATATTTAACTGCTTGCTCGGCGATTGATGAATAATTAATAATTTAACTCACAGTTGGAAATCTTGATGGTAAATCACGCACGGATTTTACACGTAATAATTAATATCATTACTTGTTAATAATTAAAAAATTCATAATTATCAACTGATGTTAGCCTAACTGATGTTAACTGACATAGCAGTTCATAATTTATTAATAAATAGAAATAATAATTAATAATATAATACAAAATAGTAAGTAATCTGACTTTTCGCGTGCGTGTTTTTCTGACCACTAGATTCGCCGGACCAACGTCCAGGACGGGGAGGCTGGGGGCATTACGCAGCAGATTGGTACGACCTTCATCCCTGTTGAAGCCATACAGGTGCAGTCCAGCATGGTGAAGAAGTTCGTTGAGAACGGCATCAGGGTGCCGGGGCTGTGCGTCATCGACACGCCCGGCCACGAGTCGTTTAGGTAACAACGCGCCGCGGGGTCACGAGTCTACATGCCTGCACGCAGTCAGACCTGTGCTACCGGCCACCTTTATAAAAGCCACACCTGTGCTACCGGCCACCTTTATAAAAGCCACACCCTGTGCACCGGGCCCACCTTTATAAAACCACACCTGGCACGCCACCTTATAAAAGCGCCAACACCTGGCTACCGGCCAACCTTATAAAAGCCACACATGTGCTCCGCCACCTTATAAAAGCCACCGCCTGTGCTACCGCCACCTTTATAAAAGCCACACATTCTACCGTCCCCTTAAAAAACCACACTGCTGCTACCGCCACCTTAAAAAAAGCCACAAACTTGCACCGGCCACCTTTATAAAAAAGCACACCTGTCTACCGGCCACCTTTAATAAAAGCCCACACTTGTCTACCCGGCCACCATTATAAAAGGCCCACAATGTGCTACCGGCCACCTTATCAAAGCCACACCTTGGCTAACCGGCCACCTTTATAAACCACACCTGTCACCGCCCCACCTTTATAAACCCCACACTTGTGCCACCCGGCCAACCTTTATAAAACCACACATGTCTACCGGCCACCTTATAAAATCCACAACCTCGCGACCGCCACCTATATAAAGCCACACTAGTGCTACCGGCCCACCTTTACAAACACAAACTCGTGCGACCGGCCACCTTTCTAAAAGCCACACATGTCAGCCGGCACACCTTTACTAAAAGCCCACACATGGCTACCAGCCAACTTTAATAAAAGCCACACCTGCCTACCGGCCACCTTATAAAACACAGACCGTGCTACGCTACTTTATAAAACACACTGTCTACCGGCCACCTTAAAAAGCCACACCTTGTGCGACCCGCCCACCTTTATAACAGCCCACAATGTGCTACCGGCCACCTTTATAAAACACACCTGTGCTACTCGCCCACCAATAAAAACCACCTGTGCTACCGGGCCACCCTAAAAAGCACACCTTGACTTACCGCCCACTTTATAAAATCCACACTGTGCACCGGGCCACCTATAAAAGCCCACACTTTGCTACCGCCACCTTAAAAAACCACACCTGCTACATGCCACCTTTAAAAAGCCACACCTGTCTACCGCTACCTATAAAACCACCACTGTGCTACTGCTACCTTTATAAAACCCCACCCTGTGGCTTCCCGCCACCTTATAAAATCCACACTGTGCATGGCTCCTTCCCAAAACCACACTTGTGCACCGCCACCTTAAAAAGCCACACTGTGCACTCGGCCTACTTAAAAGCCACCACTGTGCTAAACCAGACCACCCTTTATAAAAGCCACACTTGGCTACCGTCCACCTTTATAAAACGCCACACCTGTGCTATCCACTACCTTATAAAACCACCCTGTTGCTACTGTGCCACCTTTACAAAAGCCACCCCCTGTGCAGCACGGCCCCCTTTATAAAAGCACAACATTGCTACCGCCCCCTTTATAAAAGCACACTGTGCTATCCGGGGCCACACTAATAATACAAACCAACACCGTGCTACCGGCCACCTTTATAAAAGCCACACCTGTGCTACCGGCCACTTTAAATAAAAGCCACACACTGTGCTAACCGGCCACCTTTATAAAAGCCACACCTGGCTACCGCCAACTTATAAAGCACCACACCTTGTGACCGCCACCTTATTAAAAAGCCACACCCTGTGCTACCGCCACCTTTATAAACAACCCACACTTGTCACCGCCACCTTTATAAAAGCACACCTGGCTACCCGGCCACTTATAAAAGCACACCCTGTGCCACCGGCTACCTTAAAAAGGCCACACTTGCTACCGCCACTTTATAAAGCCACAACCTGTGCTACCCCGCCACCTTAATAAAAGCCACACTGTGCTACCGCCACCTTAATAAAGCCACAACTGTCTAACCGCCACTTTATAACAAAGTCCACAACGTGCTACCGCGCTAGCCTAAAAAGCCACCCCTGTGCTACCGGCCACCTCTTATAAAAGCCCCCACCTGTGGCTACCGGCCACCTTATAAAACCACACCATGTCTAAACCGCGCCACCTTTATAAAACCACACCTGTGCTACCCGCCACCTATAAAAGCTACACCGGCTACGCCCACCTTATAAAAGCCACAACTGTGCTACGCGCCACCTTTATATAAGCCACACCTTGTACAGTGAAAACCTAGTGCTAGCGCCGCCCACTGCTGTAAACAGACACCTGTAACAGCAACATGTGTTCTGTTACGCCCTGTAAGAACGTACAACACCTGTCATAAAGGCGCCTCATCATGTGCAGTTTATACGTGAAGTCACCTTGTAAGCATCCACGTCCCTCACGGCATTTGGGCGTTCCTACGATTGAATATCATACAATGCAAACCACCACCTCTTGATCAGATTCCTGCTATTGCGGACACATTGGTACTTTTTTAGGGCCTTATAAGACAGCTCGAGGAGTGCTAACGACCATACATAGTGTTGACATCCCAACACCATCACTAACACCGGCATCGCTCTGCACCGATCTCATCCTTATCCAGCCACACACTCCACCCCCATCCGCCAGGGCTCGAATAAGCACGAGAAGCAAGCAATTTTTTTAGGCATGTGCAGAGATCGCCTTGACTTTCTCTAAAATGAAGGCACAGACCATTTTAAAAGGCACCAAGGCACTCTCAAATTTGCCGAAGGCTATAAAGGCACTTTTGACAAATAAAGAACAACTCATAACAAATTACAGCATCAACATCGTCTTGTTTAATGTACAAAACAATAGCCCCCATGTAAGCTTACACGAAGCACCGACCCCTGTACCCCTTCTGCTACATGCGAAGTACATAACAAGAAAATTTTAAATGCCCTGCATCACGGCACAAATAAATCCAATCTGTTATATTCCCTCCTGCGACTAATCGGTTTAAGCTGATCATGCAACTAACAGCACGCAACGCGCACGGATTTTATTTGACTCGACTAAAAACGAACCTAGCGGCAGTAGATTAAAGGGCACCGGACCGAAATTACACAAAGCAGCAGGTACGCCGTCTCGTGGACTTTCAGGGCAGACGGCCGACGCAAGCACGACGCCAAGCCGTCGTGCGTCGGTATTCGAGCCCTGAAATGCCCGCTTCATCTACCTATTACCCTCCCCCCCTCGCCTCACGGACGGCATCTTGCAAGTCATCTCAACGGATTTCGGCATCTGTAGCAACCTGCGTGTGTGGGTCGTCGCTCTGCTGAAATCGCCGGCTAGTCTGGACATCATGCACGGCCTAGAACCGCAGACCATCGAGTCGATAAACCTGCTCAAGCTCGCCGAACAGACTCCGTCTCGTCGCCTTAAACAAGGTGACAAACACAAGCGTGGACTGCAGGGGGGGCGTCCCGATGTGGTACGCCACATTGTGACAACTGTACGCCATCCAGCAACTAATACGTTCTAAAAGCCGTTACTAAAACCAAAGTGTTTATTGCAACACTAAGTAGTATGCTGAGTGATCAAAATTACGTAAGTGCGGCAATTTACCTTGCCAAATCCATCCCTCTCTACTACTACACTACACGCTACATATACCGTGTAAATACAGATATTTACAACTACGCCCCGCAGAATGACACAGTGCGTAATGGTGTGCTCACTCGTTACTTTGTACAGATTGACAGCTTGCATGGAGAGTGGGACCCCCAGTCGGACGGCGGGCACGCTCAAGAAGCAGCTAGCAAACACAAAACAGCGTTAAGAACAGGGTCCAGCGAGGTCGTCGTAACAGTTCGCAAGAGCAGTGACCCCTCTATAGTAACGCAGCATCCATCACGAATACTTGCTCATGATTCGAAACATTATTATACCCTTATTAGAAAACCCTGTGCTATCAGCGCTGGTTCACGAAGCCGTATCTAAGTATGAATCGTATTAAATCACTAATCATATTCAACTTCCGTACTAAATCAAGTGACTGTTTCGAGTAATTTTAACTTAATCATGATTAAGTAATCACAATATCTAATTCTACTCAGGACAGAATAAATCCACTAATCATAATTCAGTGCTAGTACTAAACATTAAAGTAGAGTACTAGTAGTAAAGTACCTGCAGATTTTACAATGGAAATTACCTCAATTTTTCCCAAGGAAATTAAATTATCTAAGATTTGCTGTCCTACTTCAATCATTATACGTTACAAATTAATTCTTTTTCATGTAACGCGAACTTGAAGATATTGCGTCATGGTCCGCCAACTTGAAATACGCGTGTAAGTTGTTTTAGGACGTACTCGCTCCACCTCGATTACCGATTCCATCGAGTAACTAAAGCCGCAGAAGGAGCGAGTACCAGCATTCATGTTGAAGCGGCAATTAGTGATTACGTTAACATAATGTACTTACAATCGCTTCGTGGATAACATATTTTTGAGTATGATTAACTAATCATAATTACGGGAAGTTAAGTATGATTAGTGATTTAATCATACTTAAGTTAAGTACGCTTCGTGAAACCGGCCCCAGAGCTCTACTCGTGCAACTAGTGTTGAGTATGATAGACGTGACTGTTATTATGTTACTGTGAAACATGGACTGTGATAATAACTTTCTTGTTCGTAAAAACTAGTTAACTCTGTTTGTTCGAGATTATGAAAATTAAAATTAAAATTAAAAGCTGTTCCTCTGTTTTAATTCTCATTGTTTGTTTCCTGTCTTCGTCAGTCGGATAATTGCTATTTAGACGGCAATTATAGTTGCTATTACGATTACGATGTTTTTAATTGTTGATTTATAATTGTCATGTGCAGCATCTCAGTTTCATGAGTTGTGATTTCAGAGTTTGAACGTGGCGCTGTTCTACGAGAACAAGGACCCGCGAACCTACATCTCGCTCGTGCCGACGTCAGCGCACTCTGGTGACGGCATGGGCAACCTGATGGCGCTGGTGGTCGAGCTGTCGCAGACGATGCTGGCCAAGCGCGTCGCTCGGTCAGACAGTCTACAGGCGTCGGTCATGGAGGTGAGCGTGTGACAGGTGGTGTGTGTACAGTGAGGGAGGGGAGGTGAGCGTGTGATGTGTGGTGTGTGTACAGTGAGGGAGGGGAGGTGAGCGTGTGACGTGTGGTGTGTGTACAGTGAGGGAGGGGAGGTGAGCGTGTGACGTGTGGTGTGTGTACAGTGAGGGAGGGGAGGAGCGTGGTGAAGTGTAGCAGACGACAATGACATACTCTGTCTCTCACTAAGACTTCTGTCATCATCGGAAAATATTCATCAGGTTGCTGGCAATGTCGCATGGCCTTGAGAACCGAGAATTTGATGACGACAAACATTCACACTAATTATATAGATAGAGAGTAGATAGTAAGATTAGTAATCAAGAGTAGATAATAGGAGAAGAGTATGACACCGTTTTAACAGCGTTTTGCATAGTTTTCAACTTGTAAATATTCTATCAATACGTGAATAAATATATTCAAACTTTACCTTGTTTTCGTCTATGATTCTCCCTTAATCATATGACACCACCAATTTACCTGAAAATCGTATATGTTCTTCAAAAAAGTTCTTTGATTACGACACGGTTTCGCACAGTTTCAACAAATGGACGCATCTCCGCGGCCAAACTTTGTTATGGGATTAGTGTTCCATTGTCTATGACGGAACGCTGGGGGCTGGGGTGGATATTAGGTAAGCACAGTAACAGCACTTGTTTCGCTTCCTTATCATCAGGAACACGATGGCAACACAGCTAAAATCAGCTGCTAGCTCGCCGTGAGCACACATGTATTTTTAGTACGCTGGAAACGCTACACGCTGAATACAATTTGATGCCTAATAATCCCATAACAAAGTTTGGCCGCGGAGATGCGTCTATTTGTTAAAACTGTGTGAAACTGTGTCGTATTCAAAGAACGTTCACATACGATTTTCAGGTAAATTGGTGGTATCATATGATCAAAGCCGCACAATGCGCATCCAAACACTAATTTCTCCAGTACTAGACTAGCAAATACTTCGTGTCATGCATAATCACACTACCTTATGACAAAATAAACTCTAGTTCCTCCCATTTCACTGCGCGTTGTCTTATAAAAGGTATTTGGAAATACCTCCAATGTTTTTAAAATTCTCCGATGTTGTTGACAGTTTCTCCAAGCAACCGCGCAGCGGTGCTGCGGTACAGCGGTACGCGTGTAGCAAAGATAGAAACATGTGACGTCACCTCACCACTTCGAGGCTAAATTGTTTGGCAAACAGTCGGCGTTTGCGCCAGAATGCCAGTTTACTCGCCTCTTTCTTGTGGGTTTTAAGCAAACGCGCAGTGAAATGGGAGCAACTAGAGTTTATTTTGTCATAAGGTAGTGTGATTATGCATGACACGAAGTATTTGCTAGTCTAGTACTGGAGAAATTACCGTTTAGATGCGCATTGTGCGGCTTTAAGGGATAATCATAGACGAAAACAAGGTAAAGTTTGAATATATTTATTCACATATTGATAGAATATTTACAAGTTGAAAACTATGCAAAACGCTGTTAAAACGGTGTCATACTCTTCTCCTATTATCTACTCTTGATTATATAATTAGTGTAATGTCTAATCGTAAATAACTTGATGAAAATCTTTAAATTTCTGTGAATTGCTGCTAGCAGTGTGCCACTGGAACCGGACGCATGCTGTGATGTTTGCAGTATTTATAATGCTGCTTTCCGTGTTAGGTTATGGTGCTTCTCAGCGCACACGCACTCTGTCTTAATACCTCGCCTCTCTTCAAAGGTGAAAGCTCTGCCTGGGCTCGGCACGACGGTCGATGTAATCCTTGTCAACGGGACGCTGAGAGAGGGCGACACCGTCATCATGGGCGGCGTTGAAGGCCCTATCGTGTCGCAGGTGAGGGGGCTACTCACACCCCCCGCCATGAAGGAGATGAGGGTCAAGGTAAGGTCATTCATACTGCTACATATAGTGTATAGTATAGCATAGCATAGCAATGCCTAGCATAGCATAGCATAGCATTGCATAGCATAGCTTAGCATTGCATAGCATGGCTTAGCATTGCATAGCATTGCATAGCATAGCATAGCATAGTTTATAATATAGTCTTGAGTATAATGTAGTATATAAAAAATCAGTTAGTTGAGGGCAGCGACTATTAATTCCCATCTCTCCTACATGCAGAAGCATGTTTAGATGATCAGAAAAGAGATGGTATTTGTCACTTATTCATAGATGGACCTTCTTTACTCTACTCACTCGTGAATTCAATCTCTTCTTTGATGTTGTGTCTATCTACTTAATTTCCACTTGGTCACAATCAGGGTCGATAAACAAAAAATTCGATTGCAGCATGCATTCTGTATGTCACATAATTTATTAGTGGGGATGTGAGGATGTCTATTCAGATTTTATTGGTATAGGTTATTTAATAACTTATTTATTTAAAAGTTTTACGGAAGAACATGACTGAGTCTGCACATCTGATTACACCGTTGTGCAAACACGTTTTGAGGTGTAATGAATCGTTGTTCTCTGTTCCCCTATAGAACCAGTGGGATCACCACAAGGAGATAACGGGTGCTATAGGTGTGAAGATCATTGGCAAGGATCTGGAGAAGGTGCTAGCTGGCCTGCCTCTGTTTGTAGCTGAGCAAGAGGATGAGATTCCAATCTGGCAGGTAAACATTAAGGGGGCAAGAGAACATGGATCCAGCTGGAACCAAACTTCTGCATTCCAGTTTCCTCTGGGATATATATTGAATGTTATTTTACACCTGTGCTACCGGCCACCTTTATAAAAGCCACAACTGTGCTACCGGCCACCTTTATATAAGCCACACCTGTGTACAGTGAAACCTGTGCTACCGGCCACTGCTGTAGAACAGACACCTGTATACAGTCAACAATGTGTTGTCTGTTACCCCTGTAGAACGGACAACACCTGTCTATAAAGGGCGCCTTCATCATGTGGCAGTTATACAGTGAAGTCACCTTTGTAGAGCAGCCTACTGTCTATCAGGGGCAGTTTGGGCGTTTTCCTCGATTGGGATATGCATACAATGAAACCACCACCTTCGTTGATCAGATTCCTGTTTATTGAGGACACATTTTTGTGTTCTTTTTTAGTGGCCTTTATAGAGACAGGCTCGAGTGTCTATACGACCATCATTAGTGTTGACATCCCTAACACCATCACTAACACTCGGCATCGGCTCTGTCACCGATCTCATCCTTATCGCCACACACTCCATCCCCAATCCCGCTCGCCTCACGGACGGCATCTTGCAACGCGTCATGCTCACGGATGTTTCTGGCATCTGTAGCAACCTGCGTGTGCGTGGGTCGTCGCTCTGTGATATCGCCGTGCTAGTCGTGGACATCATGCACGGCCTAGAACCGCAGACCATCGAGTCGATAAACCTGCTCAAGTCCCGAAAGACTCCGTTCGTCGTCGCCCTTAACAAGGTGAGAAACAACGCGTGGACGTGCAGCGTCCGCGATGTGGTAATCGCCACTTTGTGAAACTGTACGCCATTCAGCAAGTAATTACGTGTCTAAAATGCCGTTACGTAAAAAAACGTGTGTTATTTGCAACACTTAAGTAGTAGTGCTGTAGTTGGTCAAAAATTACGTAAGTTGTCGGCAAATTTACCTTGCCAAATCATTCCCTCTCTACTACTACTACTGTACACCTACATATACCTGTGTAAATACAGATATTTACAAGCTATCGCACGTGCTAGAAGTGGACACAGTGCGTAATTGGTGGTGCCTGCATGCTCGTTTACTTTTGTGACAGATTGACAGGCTGTTTGAATGGAGAGTGGGACCCAAGTCGGACGTGCGGGACACGCTCAAGAAGCAGCAGCGAAACACAAAACTAGAGTTTGAAGAACGGGTCAGCGAGGTCGTCGTACAGTTCGCAGAGCAGGTGAGCGCCCTCTATAGTTAACGCAGCCATCATCACGAATACTTGCTTCATGGATTCGAACATTATTTATTACCTTATTAGAATAACCTGTTGCGTATCAGGGGCTGGTTTCACGAAGCGTACTTAAGTATTGAATCGTGATTAAATCACTAATCATGATTAACTTCTCGTACTTATATTAAAGTGAACATAAATATCATATAGTATAAATAATAATACGTATATGATCATATATTAGAACCCACGACGTACATTATTTATATATCTACATTACGT